GGCGATGGGGACAGGGATGGGGTGGCAATGGGGTGGCAACGGGGACAGGGAATGGGTGGCGATGGGGACAGGGATGGGGAGGGGTGGTGATGGGGTGGCAACGGTGTAGCAGCATGGACAATGGACAGGTGGCAGTGGGGACAGGGAATGGGTGGCAATGGGGACAGGGATGGGGTGGCGATGGGGACAGGGATGGGGTGGTGATGGGGTGGCAACGGTGTAGCAGCATGGACAGAGGTGGGGTGGCAGTGGGGACAGGGAATGGGTGGCAATGGGGACAGGGATGGGGTGGCGATGGGGACAGGGAACGAGCAGTGATAGGGACGAGGACGGGGTGGTGATGGGGACAGCAACAGGACGGTGGTGGGGCGGCGATGGGGTGTCAATGAGGTACGGCAATGGGGTGACGATGGGGACAGGGAACGGCTGGTGATGGGGGCAGAGATGGGGACAGGGTGACATGGCAGCCACTCCTCACCACTTCCCTTTCTCCTTCCCAGGGTCCAGCTGGTCCCCGCGGTCTCCCCGGCCCTCCTGGCGCTCCTGTGAGTATCTCCTCCTCCCCTCTTCTTCTGGGGACAAGCAGCCCCAAGGGCCCCTTCGGGTGGCGGGACTCCGGGTGGGACGGGACGGGGCGAGGGCGGGACGGGGCGTCCCACCCTTCCCGATGGGTTCGGGAACACGTGGGGACGCGCGTCCTCACGCCGCTGTGCCAGGGGGGGGACGACGGACGACGGGACCGCTGTTGCAACCGGGGCCTTCAGGCCCAATCTTCTCATTTTCTAACCCACGTTTTCCCTTTTTTTTTTCTTTTTTCCCACCAACCCGCAGGGTCCTCAAGGTTTCCAAGGTCCCCCCGGTGAACCCGGAGAGCCTGGTGCTTCTGTGAGTCCTGTCACCTCCTCCTCCAGCCTGACGTCCCCCAGGGATGGGGACAAGGCTGCCTGTTCCCAGCCCCGGCAGTGGCCACGCCGTGGCCCCGGCTCCGTGCCGGGGCATCTCGGCCAGGAGCTGTTGGAACGGGGCTGCCGGAGCCCGGCGCTGCCCAGCCCGGGTGGCAGGGGGAGAGGGCACAGCCGTCACCCACAGCGTCCTCATCCCCTGCCCTGCATCTTTCCTAGGGTCCCATGGGTCCCCGTGGTCCCGCCGGCCCCCCTGGCAAGAACGGAGATGATGTAAGTGGCCTCTGGATGGGGTCTCCACCCGCCGTTTGGGGCCTGGTGGCCCTGCCAGCGCCGCCCCCCCCGAGGCAAGCAGGAGCCGCC